AGTACCATGTGATAGTACTGCTGAAGAGGTTTCATTTTATTGTAATACCATAGGATTTCGTCCACAGACTCAAAAGTTAGAACTACATGCTAAATAAATAGTACCATGTGATAGTACTGCTGAAGAGGTTTTATTTGAATGGTAACACCATAGGATTTCGTCCACAGACTCAAAAGTTAGAACTACATACTAAATGAATAGTTCCATGTGAAAGAACTGCTGAAGAGATTTCATTTGAATGGTAACACCATAGGATTCCATCCACAGACTTAAAAGTTAGAACTACATACTAAATAAATAGTACCATGTGATAGTACCGCTGAAGTGATTTCATTTGATTGGTAACAGCTTAGTATTTCGTCCTCAAATGCAAAAGTCAGAATTATGACGATAAAGTCTCGCCTAACTTACTCTAGGANGCTGAAGAGGTTTTATTTGAATGGTAACACCATAGGATTTCGTCCACAGACTCAAAAGTTAGAACTACATACTAAATGAATAGTTCCATGTGAAAGAACTGCTGAAGAGATTTCATTTGAATGGTAACACCATAGGATTCCATCCACAGACTTAAAAGTTAGAACTACATACTAAATAAATAGTACCATGTGATAGTACCGCTGAAGTGATTTCATTTGATTGGTAACAGCTTAGTATTTCGTCCTCAAATGCAAAAGTCAGAATTATGACGATAAAGTCTCGCCTAACTTACTCTAGGAAAAATGGTAGAAACATTCTAACAAAATGCATTATATAATAATGTATCTGAACTTGATGTTTTGTAAGGGACCCAACATGGTAACGTTTACAATTATAACTGAGTGGAAGATAACTAGTCTAAGCATAGTATGTACCTTGCCCAGTCCTCAGGCCTAATTATTGCGCGCGGCCGAAGCGTTTCGGGTCACGTGGTCCCCTCGGATACGCCACCGAAACGCATTGACCGAGAAGGCCTGGGAAGACGTCTTACAGGGACTAGGCATGGGTGCACAGACAAACAAAAATAATCAATAATCAGGAGAAAAGAACGAAAAAATTTCTTTTTGACGTTATTGAATGAGAAGTTGCGCTCTGAAGGAAAACGTGCTTTAAGATATCAGTTGCAAAGGAGATCTTTCAGTTGCAATTAATGAAATTTTATTTTATATATATATTTTTTTGACTCCTTATTTACGTAGATTTCAATTTCTTGCTTGCATTGCTTCATCGGCAGTCTCAAACAATATTACACTGGGGCACTAATTTGTCTGTGTCTAAAAAGTACACAAGGGCATTAAATTGACTGCAGCGCATAAGAGAATACTCTAGGATATTAATTTGATCGGTCTTATTTAATTAACTGCACCATTAATTAGTTTGTGTGTGTCTACAAGCGACTCAATGCTATGATCGCAAGTTAAAAAGGGCGCAATTAGTGCGATAGAACCTCAGCGAATACCAGAAAAGCTACGCAACCTTGGCCAGCTAGGGCTAGAAGCAAATGGGAGTACCGACTACATTCACTCATTTTGGCAGAAATACACGCAAACGTCAAGAGTCATTCCACGTTTTTCTCCAGGCTCCACACTCTAAGGAAATTTTAAGAGAGCATTGGCGTAGTTTAAGGCGGCAGACGACTCTGTTGGGTCCTCGCCCTCCATTCCGTTCACGGTCACCCATGTGGTACCGTAGGGGTCTATATTAGGTCCCGTGTTATTTAACCTTAACGTTAACGATCTCTCAAAGGTAGTAAAGTACTGTGAAATGGAATCATACGTGGACGACACAAAATTATATCTATCAATATATCAGCAAAGGAATAATACAGTACTCCGTAATAAACAAATATGTTCATACAGATATATCGGAAGAGGGCTCTTGACTGATGTTGATACGTCATCAATAGTGGATATAGGGAAGGGACCCTCGTTTTTTCTTATCTAAACCGAAAGGCGTATTGCCGAGGCACCGAGATTCTTCGTTTTTATCAGAAGGCTGGTCTCCCTCCATCACCCACTCCTATAGACACATCTATAAGAAAGCAACAAAAGTTGTAAAAGAGCGTCGATGAAACTAGTAGCTGAGTATGCGTGTCCGAATGCTCAAGAAACAGTGCGACCTCACATACCATGTGGTTGCTTAATCAAATGAAACAGACAATCAACAAGAACAGGCTTGATCTAATGCTACGATCACTATACCTCAGTGTCTTGGAAAAATACGAATTTAGTGAATCTCGACATTCTCAACCGTGGTATAAGCAAAGCCAAATGATAGAGCGAAAATCTTGTAGGATATTTCATGGCATCTGGAAAAATGCCCTAGAAACGGTGCTGACAAACCTGATATGAGCGTGTTGGACAAAAGTGAATAAGGAATTGTTCATCATAGAAGGAACTATTTGCATACCGGGGACAATACATGGAAGGCAAGAGAGGATAAAGGGGACAGAGAAGGCATCCCCCATACTCATCCTATTCCATAGGTAATTCGTCTCGAGTTATTTATAAGACCGTAGATCCCAAGGGAGATTAGACAACAGCCAATCACATAGCGCGAATGTGTTCCACGCGGATGACCCACGCTCAGAGCCACGCGTCCTTCACGAATTGACGCAGAAAAAAATGGCGGAAGACGCAGAGCGCGATTTTCCTATTTGTTTTGTTGACGAAAACAACTAAAGAGAGATTTCTGCTAAAGGTGGGTCAGCGAAACGGAAATTAAAAAGAATCGCCCTTCCTCTCTTGTTTAGAGCTAACAGTACAGCAGGGAGATCGTTAACACACTGAATATTCTCTCAGGAGCATTTATAATTTACAGTTTGAAGAGAGCAATTTCTGGTTTGATATTTATTCTTTTATTTGTCTTTTATTATTCAACAAAAATAACACTTGGCGTCCTACTTGCTTTATTATACAAACGACCGGTTTCAATAGACTGACGAAATTTCTCATTTTATTAAAGCACTGAGGTTACGACAACTTCGAGTTAAACTGATTTCAGGGGGGTCAAAGAGAACAAAGAGTCGAGCGATTCCCTTTTCCCAGGTGAGTGCCGATTCATTTCGCTTTAATATTCAGGAATGCTCTCGATCTCTTTACGCTTTCATTGCCTTTCGCCTCCACGAAACATCCACGCAGCGTGCGAGGTAACTTTATCCCAATTCTAAAAATAACTCGAGACGAATTACCTATGGAATAGGTGTGCTTGGGGAATGCCTTCTCTGTCCCCTTTATCCTCTCTTGATGGAAGGCTAATGTTTAGTTCCGCACGAAACGTCCCAGCGGCGAAGAGCGAGGAAAAACGGATGTTTTCGCAGGCTAGCTAATGTTTAGAAGGGAAAAAAATGTAGATTTAAAATTAGGAGTGAAGAGTTTATGTTCTGGACACAAAATTACCAGTCTAAAATTTGTGTTTGATTTCCTATCCTCTAACTCCATTAAACTAGAGGACGGGCAAACCAAGGTTTCGCAAGATAAGAAAGTAGTGAACGTAAAGATAGGTCACAGAAATGGTTAATTCCTCAAAACTGTAGAATTGTATTGTAAAAAGGTTCATGTTACAATGACAGTCGTTGTTTAGCTTCTTTAACTAATTCACGAAAACAAATTCTTTTACTCGAATAAGCACCGCTCCCCATTAATCGCCGCCCGCGAATAAGCGCTGCGGCCCTGGTGTAATCAAAGACGTTAATTCTGTTAGTTTAATACGGAAAGTAAAAATACTAATGTTAATACAATTCTTTGTCGCTTCCGGCTTCCAAATAAAGGCCTCCTTCAAATAAGCGCCGCCCTCGAATAAGCGCAGCACGAGGTGTGAAAAAACTGGATAAGGGCTAATAGAGTAATTTGGGCACCCCTCGGACCACGCGACCCGAAACGCATCAGCCACGCACAATAATGAGGCCTAGGGACTAGACAAGCTATCAGCCGACACTCGGTCACTTGTCGCTCGACTAGGAGTCGACATGTCGGCCTTCTATCAGTCGATATGTCGGTCGAAATCATTTTGCCGAGTGTCTGTTGACAACTTGGCCGATATGTCGACCGATAGCCGACCGAGTGGAGGTGCCCAAATTACACAAGATCCAGTATTATGGTGGTCAGGTATAAAGCTGAAAAACTTACTGTCCAGTGCAGGTTGTTAGCTGTTTATGGCTATCACTAGTTATGAATATAGACCAGATGGATTAAAATTATATTTAAGAATATTACAAAGAGTGAAAGTGCAGAAATTTGTAAAATGAACCATACAAGAAAATTACATAATAAAAGCCCTCAACATCTCTTTGAATTTAGATAACAATTTAAACTGCTTTCCTGAGTCCGTAAGCTTATCATAGGTCCTTGCGCCTACTATGTAATGGAGGCCCTTTCTAAATTCAGTTCACACAGTCAGAAGTACAACATTAATATAATACAATTATTCATAACATATGTTAGCTTACATGACCAACAATCGGCTAAACACCTTATTGTTCCCAAACACCTTTCATTCTTTGCCGATATTCGCCGAATTCTCCTACATAGAAAGTGTCACCAAAAATATTGATAGTACATAATACAGTTCCTATTGCAAGGTTTTCACGCTGAAAACATTGAAATAACCCCTTTTTGGGACGAAAGGACAAGTAAATCCTGATTTAAGAATTAGAAGAAATAAAAATAAAAAAGTTTCTTTTTTGTTTCCTTTGTTTATTGTGATTGGGTATCCTGTGGCTCTAATGTATGATTGAAAGCCTTTCAAATTGGCGCCCCGTCACGACACACCTGGTGCTTTAAGCCCTCCACCAATCAGCGCCCGTGTTTACATCATCGTGTTTTCTGGTTCATTCGCTCGAGAGCTTGTCAAATTTGCATAAAAAATGTTCGAGGCAAATAAAAGTTTAAGAAACTCCTGTTACGCCCAGATATTTAGATTCGTTCACAGTTCACTGCATGTGTCCGTTAACTTGTTGTTTCCATATTTAAAGTGAGGACCGAAGAAAACACTGCTCTACGTGCAGCGAACCATCCTTCATCATGTGCTCCATGAAGAAATGCGCCTTAGTTTTTCTTACCATTGCAACCTTTCTGGTCTTTGCGGGAGCTGCTGTTTTCTTTTACTTCGGGCAGTTCGCGGACGAGAGCGTCTTCGATTTCCACGTCTATAATCTAACATCGGAACTGTTCGCGAAATATCCCGTTGAAATCACACCAGCAGAATGGACTCTTTGGACGTGGACAGCCGTGTTCGGCTGGCAGTTGCTTTGGCTGTGTTATGCGCTGATCTTGATGTGCCGTTGGAACGGCCCCGAAGTCCTAACGCCGTTTTTCTTCGTCTTCACCCTGCTAGGGTTCGGTTGCATGCTCGGTTGGATGTTGTTATGGGGCGAAGATCTCATCAATATCGCTCTGGGATTAATCGCTGGTACGGTTGCTTTCCTGTGTGTAGCCCTTGGTATCGCCTACTATCGAGTATTTACTCTGCGCGATGGAATGAAAAACTTTCCAACCGGCGACTGGATAGCGGTCGAAGTGCTCGTCTTGAACGGAGTGGCTCTGTTTGCATCTTGGGCGCTTTACAACGCCTTCCAAGGCGTTGCAATCGTTCTGAAGTACACGGCTGAAGTAGAAGATGAAATCACCTGTACCATAGTCCTTGCCGGCTTTGCAGCTACTCTCTTTTTCTGGTTTTGTTTGGACAACTTTGTATTTTGGCAGTTCAGTCTTTTTACTGTCACTCCTTACGCACCCATGATCGTTGGCTTCACGGGAACTCATATGGAAAATTGGAATGAGGACAAGAGAAATTCGATTTTTAATGTCTCGTTGTTAGGCGCTTGTTCTTTGATGCTATTGCTAAAAATAATCCATGTCATTTGGCGGATCCGGAGAGATAGAAAGAAGAGCAAGCGAATTGTAATCGAGGAGAATATAAACATGATTTAAAATGACTTGTAAGACATTCTTTAAGGAAGTTAGCCTTCAGTGAGTGGTGCGAAAAGTGCCAGCGGGTTGTCAGGATCGCAAAGCGCCGGATCGTTTGAGAGACAGTTCAAAATAAAGGGAGAAAACTGACCACGAATACAAAGTGCCTGCTTGAAGTCTATTTTAACAGGGTGGAAGAAAGTTGTCCCTTTATTCGCTAGCAGCTGCGGAGATATATGGAGTGAAGCGTTTTCCATTAGTTAACGCTTTTAAATTGTTAATTCGCCGAGCTTAACGTCCCTCGGGTAATTTAAATGCTCTGCATTTCAAGAGATTATGCAAAGTAAACAAAATATATCGGAGTACTTCCTCGTCAACGGATCTTACTCGACTTTTGATCAATGTAGTACTCTTTTTTTTTTCGCTATTTTGATATATTCGCTTCACTTAATATCATTTAGCCCTTCGCAGATTTTCATTTTTTGAAAGTATTGTTCTTTACAGAGACACGGCAGAATGAGTTTGTTGTGTAAATATATACAAAAAAATTGTTGTCCTTGGTTAAAAAAAAGATGATGTAAAAGCTGTGCATTTTCCAAACAAGTCAGCTCGTTTACTTATGTTTGAACTTGTATTTAAGTAAGAATAACATTAAGTTAAAGTTACTTATTTAAAGACAGTCCTTGCTTAAAATGAAAACGAAGTCCATCACTGCATCGAATTTAACACCTGACAGTGTTGAGATGATTTGAATAAATTTACACACAGGAACAAATATTTGAATGATGGTGTCACTGAAAATAACCGCTATTGCAACACTTTGTCTGTATATATAATATCTGTCAACTTGATTGCCTTTCTGAGACGTTTGAGAAGTCATCACAGTTTAATAGCATGTTTTAAGCAACTACAAATCCCATTTCCTGAATGAATTAACTTTGACAACGGCGGTAACGAAGCGGTAACGAGCGGCGACCAAAGACCTGATAAATTAGAAATGTTTTGAAACTCAAGCAAAACCTTTTCAAACACCTGCAGGATTTTTTTGTTGTTTTATTGCCCACCCCCTTTGTTCCTGCCTGCACCTGTTCTGCGTGGGACTCGCAAGCGAAGTCCTCGACTCTCACGTATTCTTCAACTCGGGCCCAGTGCTTTTTACTGGATAAATCACTCTCCAGCGAATAAGTATTACGCGGGGAACCAATTGCGCAATCCAGTGGATATACATTTATCCCCTGTAAAAGGTTAAACACCTTTTGGTGGAACATCTGAGACCAGATTCGTTGTAGGTGAAGTGGGCATACCGACATCGAAAAACCTTTTCACCATGCAGCACCAATAAAAACTGGTGTGCAACTTAATATTTTGAGTTTGAAGAGGCTGTTTCTCTAATAAGATAAGCATCAACCTGAGCGTTCAGAAGTGCTGCTTTCGATTTTAGTTCTGAATGGCGATCCCATCGACACAGGTATCCGTCTGGTATGCGTGCATGGTTCTCTAAACGAATCAGATCGCACCGAAACCTCGTCTATTCTGAAAGAAAAAAATTAAATTGCGAAATATTTAAGAGACGTTTTAGCGTCAAATTAGTTGTATCTAACTTATTAAACATTTGGAGAATTATACATGCAAAAGCGGAATTAAGGAACTGACGAGTCCATAATCATTATGTGCGGGATGAGGTAGAGTACGTGCGAGAACGTGTTTATCTAAGGGTGGTGTAATCAATTTAAAAAATTTCAATCGCACAGTAAAATTGTTCGGAGCTGGGTTTTTCCTGGGTTGGAAAAATCGAGAAAGACTTTATTTCTCCAATTAGCGGTAATTAATTTCTTACTGATATGCTAACGATGTGTGGAATGACATTTATTTCGTCCCCGTTGTCTCTTATGCTGAATCTTTCGCGACTGATAAAGTTGGGAATCTTGGATGGTATTAGCCTAAACGATTTGGAAGAATCCAAACTGCATATATGTCTTCTCTACAAAAGTTAAGAGGCCTCTTTGGAAAACTCTAGTCTTACGTAACAATTGTTCAAAAATTCTAGCTCGTTAAAAAGAGATAATAATGCGCGAAACTGTGAAACTAATCTACGTTATAACGTGTAATAGAAAGAAGTCTGGCCCATCACTGCAATGGATCAATGTGTCTCATATTTAGTTTTCTGTTGAAGAAATTGTCTGTGGCGATTCCAAAAACCGTTCCTGATCAAAAATGCCACTGTTAATTTTACTTTATTTTAAGTAATTCTAACTGGAACAGTTAATTCTTTCAAATAGTTCATACATTCATGTTATTCATAAATTTTGTTTTAAAATTTTCCAGTGCAACCATTCAAGCACAAGTAGTGATCAATTACTTTCTTCCAGCCTTTTCACAGATCTTCTAGTTTCTCTCCAGGGTCGATCGCATGTTTGAAAATATATCCGCAAGGATTTATTTTAGGGAAGCTCTTCTTCTTGGTGGTCTTTGTTTTACCCATCGCGTAAATGAGCTCACAGCCGCGCTGTCCAAACAATACCGCCAGCTTTGCATTTTCGTTTTGTGTTATTATTGTTTTGTAAGTTTAAGACTTAGGCTTTTTGACAGTGTAAAAGACCAAAAAAGGCGAAGATTTTAGCGCATAAATTATATCAGAGTGCACTTGTTAAGACATGATGCCCGCCTACCACGTGATATTCCAGGTGCGATTAACAGCGGACGTGGCGCTCAGCACAGAAAAGAACAGAGATGTTCATATGCACGCAAAGAAAAATAAAGCCAACAGAGCGTTTTCTCTCCCGTGGACAGCCGCCAGGCCAATTTTTCGGAACAAAAGAAAGTTTCTACATAAGAAAAAGGTTCAACGTGGCCGCCGTTTTATTGTTTTAAAACACTAACATGGCGGACGCGACGTCATGTAAAGCAGGGCATTTGCTGGGCGCATGCCCGAGGAAGTAAAACTGGCCGGGGGAACATCAACTTCGTATTGGGTCTTCATTAGCAGGGAGGAGAAACTGCTAGTGGGTCTTAGTAAATGGATAAGGGGGAAACTTTTCGCAAGAACAATGAAAGCCGGAATGTCGTAACAGACAATGAAGGGAGGGCACGCTGGCCTGCATTGCATGCAAAATATAACTAACAAAACATATTATCATTCGATGTAAAATTTTCTTCCTTTTTATTGGCTGACAATCCACAACGTGACCTGCGAACAACTGCCTACAAATAATGTTCTGCTCATGCGAAATGTCGTCCAACTGTTGGCTGCAAATAATACTCTGCTTAAGGGTAAACGATACCACGCTTTTCTCCTTCTTCATCCTCGTCCCCAGACAAGCAACCCCAGAGCAACTTGGCTTACAAGACCACGTGACGAAGAAACTTCGGGCTCTGGGGACGAGAATGCTCCTTCTTTCGATCGCCCGAGACAAACTTGGTGATCGAATGAAAAAACAATTATTGAGCTCGGTTATCGTAAAATATCATGATCGGTCAGTGTCTTGCAGATCGATCAGTTGTTTACCTCAGCCTTCGGCGGGATCGGAGGTGGTTTTGTTTGACCCACGCGTAAATGAGCTCGCGTCCCGCCCATTTCCGCGATGCCCAAACAAAACCGCCAGCTTCGCATTCGTCGCTCAGTATGTTATTATTGTTTTGTAAGTTTAAAACTAATATAAGCTCTTTGTCAGTGTAAAAGACCAAAAAAAGGCGCAAAGTTAAGCGCATAAACTCATATCAGAGCCGCACTTGGTAAGACATTTGTCCCATACACTCTTAACCCAATCTGTATTAACCCAATCTGAATACGTTTTACGTCGAATGCAACAACAATCTTTCCCTCCGATTGGTGACAGATGTTTGGTGTCATTCCGGCTTGCATTGTTCTTGTGCGAAGTTTTCTCCCTGTCCAATTGTATAATGACTAAGACCCTGTTTACATGGAGTGGGGGACCCCGGTCTAGTGGGGTAGGTTTCTTTTGTGTTGTGTCCCCCAGAACGTGAAAACAAAAGAAACCAACCCCACTAGACCGGGGTCCCCCACTCCATGTAAACAGGCCCTAAGACCTACTAGCAGTTTCCTCTCCCTGCTGATGACGGCCCATTCTCGGCGAAGTCGAGTTTTTCCTAGTCCTATTCACGCCCGTTTACGGACATCTAAAAATACGGGGTCGAACGGTTATTTAAACCATGTCTAACTTAGACCGCGGTTTAGCAAATCTTCGGACCTCCAGATCTCTTTCTTAGCATGTGGGTTATTTTATGAAAAAAACTTCTTTTCTAGTCACTATACGCTTTAATGAAACTGTTCACCTTAAATGGCATTTAGATAAAAGCGTCGATCAAACTAATAATGGCTTAGAGCGCGGCTTTGTTAACCACTGACTACAAATTCCGTTTAAATAACTGGCCTACATAGCTTGTGAGTTGAAACGGGGTTTTATTTTCATGGCGGCTGTAAGCAGAGCTTAAGAGAGCGTCCAATGTATGTAAAGTCTTCCCTGTTCTTTTCTTTGCGGATCGCCACCTCTGCAGTTCCTTGCTGGAAAGCTGAAATTCCACTCCGCCTGGAGCCTCCCTATAGGCCATTTTTGAGAGTGCCCGAAAGGGGTACCTTTTTCACCTAGGTTATATCAAAGGGTGGGGAAATCTGTCATTGCGGTGTGTGGAAGGGCCTAAAAGGGGGCATTTTATGGCTGTAAAAAAGACAAGAAAACTTTCCGGTTTCATGATTTATTCACATTTAAAAGACGATGCATTTGCAGCAGTTGAAACGAACGCAGGGTTCTAAACTAGTTTATNGATAAAAGCGTTGATCAAACTAAAAATGGCTTAGGGCGCGGTTTTGTTAACCACTGACTACAAATTCCGTTTAAATAACTGGCCTACATAGCTTGTGAGTTGAAACGGGGTTTTATTTTCATGGCGGCTGTAAGCAGAGCTTAAGAGAGCGTCCAATGTATGTAAAAGTCTTCCCTGTTCTTTTCTTTGCGGATCGCCACCTCTGCAGTTCCTTGCTGGAAAACTGAAATTCCACTCCGCCTGGAGCCTCCCTATAGGTCATTTTTGAGAGTACCCGAAAGGGGTACCTTTTTCACCTAGGTTATATCAAAGGGTGGGGAAATCTGTCATTGCGGTGTGTGGAAGAGCCTAAAATGGGGCATTTTATGGCTGTAAAAAAGACAAGAAAACTTTCCGGTTTCATGATTTATTCACATTTAAAAGACGATGCATTTGCAGCAGTTGAAACGAACGCAGGGTTCTAAACTAGTTTATGAGAGGTACCATTTGTCAATAAAAGGTATACCAAAGGGGTACCTTTTCTGTCCAAAAAGGCATATAAAAGGGTAAGAGGATGGACCTCAGGGCGGACCCTCCCAATATAAAGTTTTGCACCCCCTGTCTGATGCAATGTTGAAGGATCGGAAAATAACCTTAAAATGTCTTACCAAAAATCGCCATGCAGGATATGGATCAAATTTGAACATACTGCTAACAGACACGGTAATGGGAGGGCAAGCTGACGTACATTGTATGCACAATATACAACTGTAACTAACAAAATATAACATTTGCACATATACACACAAAAAATAATGGCAGGTTCATGTACGTGTTCAGAAAAATTTATTTTATTTTTTTCTGTTTTCCATGCTATAAAAAAATGCATTTCCCTACCAAGGGAAAGTAAACTGACTTAAAATTGCATACATGTACCAGTAACATAAATTCACTTAGAAGTAAATTTTAGAAGGAAGGGGTTATTGACAAGAGAAATATAAGAAAAATACATGTTGGTTTCTAATGTACAACATTTTTTTTTACATAGTCAGCATTAGACTACCCTTTCTTCCTGCAAAAGTAATCAAAGCTAAACGTTTATGCAAAACTTGCTCCTGTAAATGCACTTAAATCCTGTACAGTGTATATCTTAAGAGTGACCAACATCAATATTCTCCTAAACAACAATTTTATCAATACATCATCAAGAGAGAGGTTACGTTAACTATAATTCTTTAAGTTATTGATTTGGATCAGTCTGGAGAATTTCTATGCATAGGGGCTTTAACAGTACAGGGTTCATTAAAAATGTTTGGGATAAATACTGCTAGATTCTCCTTTCAGTTTTCCTGGTTTGAGGCTAGCTAATTCAAGGGAGAATTTGGCATTAGACCAGGAGTCATTTAGAGCCTTATTTCCCATCCCCTTCAATTACATCATGACAAAAAATAACAGCTCTGGTGGCAAATGTTCAAAGACATCTACAAAGGAAGAGGGAGACTCTTGACTTCTGATAAACACTCTGAATAGTGTTCCTTGATATCATCATGGGACTTCACCATTACGATACTTGTGGGTCGTTTAGTTTGACTTGCAGCCCCAAGGTCCTGAAATTATAAACACCATTTAACTGTCAACAGAGAAGTGGCAAAGCTAAAAATTCAAAAGAACCTGGTTCTGACAGGTTCCTCTAAGTGATGTGGGGATAAAAAAAAGCCCTGTCAGGTTTCTATGTAACTTTTCTAGTCTGATATGTCATCTGTCTCTTCACCCTACCTCAAGGGGGAAGGGGGGGGGGGGGGGGGGGGGGGGGGGGGAGGGGCCGGATGCAATTTCAGATTATAACTTTTTATCCTATTTTGTTGGGGGGGGGGGGGGTTAGAACAATTCATTTTTAATAAAATTAAAGGGTTATTTAATAACAAAAGAGAGTTCTTTTATTTTAAATTCAATTTTTTTCAAACCCTTTGTAGGGGTGAAAAGGGTAAATCTTACGTAACAATTGTTCAAAAATTCTAGCTCGTTAAAAAGAGATAATAATGCGCGAAACTGTGAAACTAATCTACGTTATAACGTGTAATAGAAAGAAGTCTGGCCCATCACTGCAATGGATCAATGTGTTTCGTATTTAGTTTTCTGTTGAAGAAATTGTCTGTGGCGATTCCAAAAACCGTTCCTGATCAAAAATGCCATTGTTAATTTCACTGTATTTTAAGTAATTCTAACTGGAACAGTTAATTCTTTCAAATAGTTCATACATTCATCTTATTCATTAATTTTGTTTTAAAATTTTCCAGTGCAACCATTCAAGCACAAGTTGTGATCAATTACTTTCTTCCAGCCTTTTCACAGATCTTCTAGTTTCTCTCCAGGGTCGATCGCATGTTTGAAAATATATCCGCAAGGATTTATTTTAGGGAAGCTCTTCTTCTTGGTGGTCTTTGTTTGTTCCATCGCGTAAATGAGCTCACAGCCGCGCTGTCCAAACAAGTCCGCCAGCTTTGCATTTTCGTTTGTGTTATTATTGTTTTGTAAGTTTAAGACTTAGGCTTTTTGACATTGTAAAAGACCAAAAAAGGCGAAGATTTTAGCGCATAAATTATATCAGAGTGCACTTGTTAAGACATTCAGATGCCCGCCTACCACGTGATATTCCAGGTGCGATTAACAGCGGACGTGGCGCTCTGCACAGAAAAGAACAGAGATGTTCATATGCACGCAAAGAAAAATAAAGCCAACAGAGCGTTTTCTCTCCCGTGGACAGCCGCCAGGCCAATTTTTCGGAACAAAAGAAAGTTTCTACATAAGAAAAAGTTCAACATGGCCGCCGTTTTATTGTTTTAAAACACCAACATGGCGGACGCGACGTCATGTAAAGCAGGGCATTTGCTGGGCGCATGCCCGAGGATGTAAAACTGGCCGGGGGAACATCGACTTCGTATTGGGTCTTCATTAGCAGGGAGGAGAAACTGCTAGTGGGTCTTAGTAAATGGATAAGGGGGAAAGCCTGAATGTCGTAACAGACAATAAAGGGAGGGCACGCTGGCCTGCATTGCATGCAAAATATAACTAACAAAATATATTATCATTCGATGCAAATTTCTTCCTTTTTATTGGCCGACAATCCACCACGTGACCTGCGAATAACTGCCTACAAATAATGTTCTGCTCATGCGAAATGTCGTCCAACTGTTGGCTGCAAATAATATTCTGCTCAAGGGTAAACGAAACCACGCTTTTCTCCTTCTTCATCCTCGTCCCCAGAGCAACCCCAGAGCAACTTGGCTTACAAGACCACGTGACGAAGAAACGACGGGCTCTGGGGACGAGAATGCTCCTTCTTTCGATCGCCCAAGACAAACTTGGTGATCGAATGAAAAAACAATTATTGAGCTCGGTTATCGTAAAATATCGTGATCTGTCAGTGTCTTGCAGATCGATCAGTTGTTTGCCTCAGCCTTCGGCGGGATCGGAGGTGGTTTTGTTTGACCCACGCGTAAATGAGCTCGCGTCCCGCCCATTTCCGCGATGCCCAAACAAAACCGCCAGCTTCGCATTCGTCGCTTTATGTTATTATTGTTTTGTAAGTTTAAAACTAAGCTCTTTGTCAGTGTAAAAGACCAAAAAAGGCGCAAAGTTAAGCGCATAAACTCATATCAGAGCCGCACTTGGTAAGACATTTGTCCCATACACTCTTAACTCAATCTGTATTAACCCAATCTGAATACGTTTTACGTCGAATGCAACAACAATCTTTTCCTCCGGTTGGTGACAGTTGTTTGGTGTCATTCTGGCTTGCATTGTTCTTGTGCGAAGTTTTCTCCCTGTCCAATTGTATAATGACTAAGACCCTGATTACATGGAGTGGGGGACACCGGTCTAGTGGGGTAGGTTTCTTTTGTGTTGTGTCCCCCAGAACGTGAAAACAAAAGAAACCAACCCCACTAGACCGGGGTCCCCCACTCCATATAAACAGGCCCTAAGACCTACTAGCAGTTTCCTCTCCCTGCTGATGACGGCCCATTCTCGGCGAAGTCGAGTTTTTCCTAGTCCTATTCACGTCCGTTTACGGACATGTAGAAATAAGGGGTCGAGCGGTTATTTAAACCATGTCTAACTTAGACCGCGGTTTAGCAAATCTTCGGACCTCCAGATCTCTTTCTTAGCATGTGGGTTATTTTATGAAAAAAAACTTCTTTTCTAGTCACTATACGCTTTAATGAAACTGTTCACCTTAAATGGCATTTAGATAAAAGCGTTGATCAAACTAAAAATGGCTTAGGGCGCGGTTTTGTTAACCACTGACTACAAATTCCGTTTAAATAACTGGCCTACATAGCTTGTGAGTTGAAACGGGGTTTTATTTTCATGGCGGCTGTAAGCAGAGCTTAAGAGAGCGTCCAATGTATGTAAAAGTCTTCCCTGTTCTTTTCTTTGCGGATCGCCACCTCTGCAGTTCCTTGCTGGAAAACTGAAATTCCACTCCGCCTGGAGCCTCCCTATAGGTCATTTTTGAGAGTACCCGAAAGGGGTACCTTTTTCACCTAGGTTATATCAAAGGGTGGGGAAATCTGTCATTGCGGTGTGTGGAAGAGCCTAAAATGGGGCATTTTATGGCTGTAAAAAAGACAAGAAAACTTTCCGGTTTCATGATTTATTCACATTTAAAAGACGATGCATTTGCAGCAGTTGAAACGAACGCAGGGTTCTAAACTAGTTTATAAGAGGTACCATTTGTCAATAAAAGGTATACCAAAGGGGTACCTTTTCTGTCCAAAAAGGCATATAAAAGGGTAAGAGGATGGACCTCAGGGCGGACCCTCCCAATATAAAGTTTTGCACCCCCTGTCTGATGCAATGTTGAAGGATCGGAAAATAACCTTAAAATGGAAAAATGTCATACCAAAAATCGCCATGCAGGATATGGATCAAATTTGAACATACTGCTAACAGACACGGTAATGGGAGGGCAAGCTGACGTACATTGTATGCACAATATACAACTGTAACTAACAAAATATAACATTTGCACATATACACACAAAAAATAATGGCAGGTTCATGTACGTGTTCAGAAAAATGTATTTTATTTTTTTCTGTTTTCCATGCTATAAAAAAATGCATTTCCCTACCAAGGGAAAGTAAACTGACTTAAAATTGAATACATGTAGCAGTAACATAAATTCACTTAGAAGTAAATTTTAGGAGGAAGGGGTTATTGACAAGAGAAATATAAGAAAAATACATGTTGGTTTCTAATGTACAACATTTTTTTTTACATAGTCAGCATTAGACTACCCTTTCTTCCTGCAAAAGTAATCAAAGCTAAACGTTTATGCAAAACTTGCTCCTGTAAATGCACTTAAATCCTGTACAGTGTATATCTTAAGAGTGACCAACATCAATATTCTCCTAAACAACAATTTTATCAATACATCATCAAGAGAGAGGTTACGTTAACTATAATTCTTTAAGTTATTGATTTGGATCAGTCTGGAGAATTTCTATGCATAGGGGCTTTAACAGTACAGGGTTCATTAAAAATGTTTGGGATAAATACTGCTAGATTCTCCTTTCAGTTTTCCTGGTTTGAGGCTAGCTAATTCAAGGGAGAATTTGGCATTAGACCAGGAGTCATTTAGAGCCTTATTTCCCATCCCCTTCAATTACATCATGACAAAAAATAACAGCTCTGGTGGCAAATGTTCAAAGACATCTACAAAGGAAGAGGGAGACTCTTGACTTCTGATAAACACTCTGAATAGTGTTCCTTGATATCATCATGGGACTTCACCATTACGATACTTGTGGGTCGTTTNGGGGGGGGGGGTAGGGGGTGAGGGGAAGGGACTGATGACATTTCAGACTATAACTTTTCATGCTCATTTCGTTGATGGGCAGGAGGTTCAGACAAGTCATCTTCTAACTAAATCATAGGCTAATTAATAAGACAAAGATGCTACTTTAGTTTTAAATCTAATTTTCTTCAAGCCCTGGGATGGGTGAACAAGTGAAAAAGAGTATCACATGGTCAAGTTAACAGATGTCAGTATCCTTTACTTGATTATGTGTTCTTCACTCGTGAGGAATTGCTGATTTCGTCTTTGTTTTTTTTTTCATTAAGTCCAGAAACACTCTAGCAAATTTTACATCAACATAGTGACTTAATGCCTTGTCAGACACCTCTATAAAAATTATTGAGATGGACACCTCGCTAACCTTACAAGGTCTCTGCAGTTCTTTAGTCACTTTTGTATAAGATGGACACCTCTTTAAGACTTAGACAATTTAAGTAGTTCCCATTACAGTGTCTGTCTAAGAAGGAGTTGTTTCAATGAATATAAATTCAGAGTAGAAGATTAATATTTACACCTGTAACAGTACTTACACTTAATGATAAATTTATATTGCAGTGAAGGTTAAAACACATAAACATGACTCACAAACTTAGAAGGAACATATGCATATGGAACTTTGTTGTCTTCACAAGCTACTGGGATGTGTGATATGACATCAATTGGGGAGATATCACCGGCAATAACCACGAACCTAAAACGCAAACAGAATCATGGTTTATTCAGTATACCTTTTACCTGAGACGTTTTTTAATCAGGATTATAAAGAATATCATGAACTTATTGACTGACTTATCTGTCAATATACTTACTGATCAAGTAAAATGTACAAAAAATTCTACAGTCTAATAGCAGATACTGGTAGGTACATGTAAGTTTCATGCAAACAGTTCTTTCAGATACATAATGTAAACAGTAACACTACAGCTTAAGATAGTTTTCAATAAGCAGTGATGCCTGATAAACAGAATATGCCATTTTTTTCTCCAAATTGAAGCAATTAAAGAAAGATTCATTCAAACCTTGTTTATACACTTGTTTATTGCCAGTGCATGGAAGTAATGATATGAATAGTCTAGCTATGATCCAAACAAATTTCACAATACTTAAACAAATACATGTAAGAAGCTGTGTCTCGATTATGCCAATAACTCATAGCTGGAAGGAAACAAAGCCTATAAATACCAGGTTTACTTATAGAACATTAAGTTCAGTGTACCTTAAAATTTGTGAAATCTAGCTGGAAATTTCTTCATGAATTAAAGGCACAGTGTCCTGATTGTGAGCACACGCGAGCGTGATCTGTTTTTTCTTCAAAAGACAATAGGACTGTCATATTGACTAGACAAGATTTCCTTCCAGACTGCACCGCCAACGGAGATTTGTTGTTTACATTCTCAAGTAATATTTTAGACTTTCGAAGAAGTTTTTCATCTTATTTAAAATTTGGCTCGTGGCACGAAGACTTATCGCGATTTTTTCACTAGCAGGGCCACTCGTGACCCGAAAATCTCATTCCACTCGCTTTAAAAACAGCTTTTCTAATGTGAAACTCGTGTCAGAGGTCAATTGTTCCAAGTTCAGTAATACTTGCTTGATTTGCTCACGTTCTAGCCTCAAACATTTGAAAGATATATATATAAATGCAATCTCAATGCGATGAATTATTGCAAAGGTTAGTCAAAAATTATATTATGATTTGTTGCACTAGTTTTTCTAAACAAGTAGCACCTGTTTGTTTGATTTTGTCGGCCGTAGGGAGGTTCATTTAAAACTTTACTAACGCATCGTTGCGAAACATTCTGCTTCACGAAGCTTAATTCCACAAGATCTCCTCAGTCACATCCATGTCTCAATGGTTTCTTTCTTATAGTCTCCATTGTTGCTGTTTCATTTCTGCGTATTCCTTTCACAATTATCTGAGTCTGTAAGGAAGCTGGCAGAAGAAATAAGCCTTCAATCGCCATAAAGGTGCTTCCCATCTTTTGGTCCTCTGGCCAACGGCAATAAAAGTCACCCCCAAAAATCCCGATTTCGCCCAAATCAACACTCAACAGGAACAATATATCATTGATCTGTAATCCTGAGACATTTTAGTGTAGTATCGAACTCAGCCAAGCGCGATGCAAACGGATTCTTCAAGGTTCTCTTACTCTCCTTGCATCTTTTGATTTTGCGACATCCTGTCCAAAAATCAAAGTTTGGTGCATGAGCAGTAACGGGATACTGTTCCTTTAAAGTCCACTGATAAACTACACCATAACAAACACTGGACACACTGTTTTGTTGGTCTGTCTTCATCTGTTCACCTCAAGTCCTTCTTAAAAATTCTTGACACTATATCTCATGTATATCTCCACTATATCTCATGTTTTGATTGCAATGAAAACAATGCATTTAAGTGACTCAGTACTGTGGAACCTTGATATCATGAAGGGCCAAGGGACTGGCAAAATTTGTTCACTTTATCAAGGTTCTTTCCCATATATTTTACTATTATTGGGGTAAGGAAAATTGTTCATTATATCAAGGGCTTAGTTATATAGAGGTTCTTTATTTAATGAATTATCGAGGTTCCACTGTAGCATTTGTGTCAACTTACTTTTAACCAAAAATGACCATGCACATAGACCACTAAAAAATCTTACCCCTTCTCTCCTTTTCTTAAAGCTTTTGCTACTTCTTTGACTCCCCTTCTTAAACTCTTAACTTTAGAAGCTGCAAAGTAATCATTCAGAGCAAATTACAGTTAAAGTGTTAAACAAATTAAGTGACCATATATTTTTTTTGCCTTAACATTCATCAAAGTATTGTACAACAGTATATTGGTAGAGGCATTATAATGTTATTGATCATCTGAAACGTGCTTGTACCAGTGACAACACCATTCGGTTTTATGTCAGCTAGGCAATATTATGCAGATTTTGTAATTTTTTACAAGGCTTGATGCTTCAAATTTTAATATCAAGACCAACCTTGATTTAAAAACAACAACAACAAAAACAACAACAAAAAAATTCTTCTCTAATTTAGGACCATAATGGACCCCTGGAACGGATATGGATAACTTTCAACTTATAAACTTTGCACGGTTTTCTAAATAAACCACGAGAAATCGTACTTGTATACGGTAACCTAAAATGTGTTTTTTTTTGTTTTGATGATCATCGTTGGATCTATAAGCGAATCACGACTACATGATCCGATAATAATATTCTTATTTAGAAGTTCAATCAAACCTTCTGAAATATGACGCTAACCTCTCTTCACTGTTTTGTACAATCTTTTTGTGAGTTTTCTTCCAGCAAGTGGTTTTGCAATCGCACAGACTCTCTTAACAAGCTCATCGTAGTCTAAGGTAGGTTCTTCAGTCCTTGATTCGTCAACAGTAGTATCGTTTGATTCTCCACTTTCGCTCTCTTTCTTTTTGTCCTTCGATTTCGCCATGTTGTTTGGAAGCGCACGTGGGAATGACCGACGAAGGACTGGGAACCAAAAAGAAATAAATTATAGAAGTTATCCGCTGGCCAACATCGTTGTGACTTGACGACTCAAGTTCTTGGCCGCGTTCTTATAATACAATGCAATGGTGAGTTTTTTCCTGAGTTTTAGTTAACTTACATACGTATTTGGTCAGTTATTGGCTGATTTATAAGTCAGCATCGCAGTATGCTAAGTCACTAATCAGTAATGAACCGGTTATTGTTTTAAAACGGCTCACATTGAGTACATGATGGGTCAGCTGGGCTGATGGCGGGAAATTCAAAGATTTGGATGAAAATTTAGAACTAAATAAGCTTACCTCTTCCTGAATTAATAGATTTGCTGCTTTCTTTTTGAATTCAAAACAATTATCACTCCAACTCTGGAACACAGATAATAGTATTGATTTCTCCCATACATGTGAACTTAATCAGGGCTCCTGGCTTAATACATTGTCTGAAAAGAGAGGAGAAGTTTTCACATTATGTTGCCATGGTAGAAACATTTTTGGATCTCAAAAAATCGAAAAAGCCACTAAAAAAAAGTGATTTCACACTTTTTTAAACTTTATGCTCTTATTTAATTTCAATGAATGTGTAGTTTTAGAAAATATCCATACCCTCCCCACAGAGAGCAGGGGGGTGGAGGGGGGGCACGGGCTCAAAGGGTAGGGTGTAGCTGCTTTGTTGAGAAAGCTTCCTAGCTTGTACTATTAACTGGTGTTTTAAAACAAGAATAATTATTTTCATTGAGAAACTGTTTAGAATTACGGTTGGCTGGATGCTTTGTTGCAAAGAAAGTCAGTGTTACAGCTTGCCGTTCGGGCAAGCTGTAGCTTGTGTGTCCTGGCCCAAAAATGGTTTCAGCTATCGCGAAAAAACCTTTGAATTGCAGGATTGATGACAGTTCTTCTGTAATTCAGTGTTCTCCTTATCAGGCGGTAACCGGTAAACTTTACTGCTTGAAACAACACTTCTTACTGCCTGCAACTGCTTGAAGTGTTACTAAAATTCAATACACACATAAGTTGTTTTAAAAAATAAGTAAGTTGCTATTCAAGCCAATCCTCACAAGAAAAGGAAGTAAATGCAGAAAAGCAAAAAGTATTATTATAGTATTTCCTCTGATTACTCTATTTAAATGCTGACTGATACCTTTCAAAGCACGGCAGGCTAACAATTTCTTTTCGTGGGTTTCTGTCGCAAATCCTGGAGATCCCAGGGGGTGGGGGTATGACAAGCACCCCCTGGAATGGAAATTCCTGGTGGATGGGGTATCTAAGGCAAAAGTGCCTTCTGTCTGGAAGGGGGAGGGGAGAGTATGGATTATACAATTTGTCAAATGTTGTCAAAAATATTCTGGCATTGAATCTGAAAGGACTGTATTTAATTGTAGAAAAGAAAAGAAAAGAAACTTGTTTTCTTTTGTTCACATACTCCTTAAAGCGGGTGCATGAAATTAGGATGTTTCATGTTCCTGTCCTACAATGGTGGCTTAGAAAAGTACTAAAAAGCATTTGCAGCTTTGGAGCTTCAGGTTTGGCAATTGTCCAGCAAAACCAACTACAGTTGTAACTAGGGGTGGGAGAGGGATAGGTGTGTGGAATAGAGAGGGAGTAATTACCCAAAAAACGATTACAAGTACAGTTTATTCAGCACAGCACTCAGGGGTGGATCCAGGATTTTTTTAGGAGGTGGTGCACTCGTCTCTTGCTCTACTTCAACACCAATAAACCACGCAGTTTTTTTTTTTCGCAGAATACCAGTTGTATTAGAAAACCAAAGGTCATCTCAGGGGGGTTGGGCACCCCCTACACCCTCCCCCTAAATCCGCCCCTGGCACTGCAGACCACTATATACACATACACGTAAATCATCCTCAAGTTAAACCAAAGTGATTAGAATCTGGTTGTATATTGATTGAAATAGATTTACTGATGGAATTTTTAATGGGCCATTCAGCAGCTGTTTGAAAGTGAGAGAGGAAGCTCTCCATCAAAGGAGATCTGCTCACTTTAGCATGCAGCTGTTTTGTGATGTCATTCAACTCTTATTCTGTAAAGGAGCTGGAGCATTTTGTTGATAGATAAAAGCAAAAAACAAGCAAACGAACAAAAAACCGTTGCAAAAGAAGCTACATGTACTTGCTGGCAAGCTGGCACAGTTTTGACACTGGTATTACATGTGAGTTGTGTTAACTAAAATCTGCTTTGAAAACTTGGCAACATTTTGCTGAACAAACTTGTATCTATTTTATACCTTTCCCCTTAGGGCATCTGGCAACCCACCCATTGTGCATACACATGTATATTGTTCCAACACAGTCTTCTGAGTAGGACTAGGGGGATAAACTAAAGTAATGGATCATTCATCAGGTCTGGAAAAATCCCCAAATGTAAGGAAAAGGTACTGGCTTCATTGCAAGTTTGTTAACAAGTCTTCATGATGACCACATGTTCATCTGTAGATTGTGGCCTTTCCTCCAGTAGGTATTTATAATGTAGAAAAAATAACCACTGAGGTGATGAACACCCTAGTGTTTGTTGGGTGGGGTTAAGGAAGTCAAAATGGATTTTATCAAAGCACCTGCCTATGGCATGTGGATTTCATCGGTTTCAGGCACTGGGCTCCCCTTAATTTTTCTTAGAGCTCAGGCTTTAACATTGTATGTAGTATATGCTTTAGGGTGTATAACTTTTTAGAGCTGGAGGCTCATACAAAAAGGTCTTATCTGGGAAAATGTTTGGTTCTTTCAAATGGCAACCATCTCATATTACCATGCTGGATTTCCACCATGGTAGGTTGTGCCAAAATGGGGTTATATTTTAGGGTGGAAAAGGAGTCGATTTAATCTAGAAGTTGTTTTCAGGTTTTTTCACCTCAACATCTGCAACCCACCCTCACCAATGTACTGCATTCAGGAGAACAGTGATTCATGATAATTGATCATCTGGTTCAAAGTTTTTGTTGAGTAACTTGCCCTTCATACAATAGTAAATCATTACAGACTTTACATGTCATCAGATGAATTAAAATCTGTGACGCCAAAAGTACTGTTTCAGGTGAATTAAAAAAAATCTTAAATATGGTACAAATGTTGACCAAAGACCTTTTAAGGTGAGGTCTTCGAAGTGTTCAAAGTCAACCTTGGCAGTTTTATTGAATTAAGGAACGCGACTCTTTGTGTTAGTCAATCCAAAAATAGTACTTTATTATGAAGCCTTTGACGAATACATAACTTCGAGCAAGTGAAGCCATTGTGCAAATGACAGAATACAGAGTCGTCTTTTAAACATTGCCTTCTCTTGTTTAAAGTTATAATCAAGTGGTTTAGTAGATAATTATTTTTCTCTATTCTGTCTCTAAAACATCCTTAAAATTAGAATGGGATTAAGTGTTCTTTGCATATTTGCTATGCCTCCTTAACTGTTGACGTAATGGCTTATGTAACGTTTACGTGGTATGTCATAACTGTCTGGGATTGTCGGTCAAGTAATTAATTTCTTTACTGTTTCTTCGCCTCTTTCTTCTCTTCTTTAGGAGCATCAGCTTTTTTCTCTTCAACTTTCTTCTCCTCAACTTTCTTCTCCACGGGCTTCTTGGCGTCATCTTTGTCGTCATCATCATCGTCATCATCATCATCTTTATCATCGTCATCATCATCGTCATCATCTTCCTTCTTGGTGGCATCGCTCTTCTTCTCTTCTACTTTCTTCTCTTTCTTGTCTGCTTTCTTTCCTCCCTCATCGCTGTCCTCACTGTCATCTTCATCATCACCATCATCCTCATCGTCTTCATCGTCCTCATCATCTGCCTCGTCCTCATCATCCTCGTCATCTTCGTCATCCTCATCGTCAAGATCGCTTAACTCGTCCTCGTCATCATCTTTATCATTGTCTTCCTTATCAGCTTCTTTGTCCTCTTTGTCAGCAGCCTTATCCTCTTCTTTCTCAGCCTCCTTGTCTTCCTTTTCTTCTTTATCGTCTACTTTTTCGTCTTTCTCCTTCTCTGGGGCATCAGGGTTGTCTTCCTTGGCTTCATCCTCTTTTGCTCCCTCACTGCTGTCCTCACCATCGTCTTCATCATCCTCATCATCTTCATCCTCATCATCGTCGTCACTTTTCTCGCCTTCACTGCTATCAATGTCATCATCCATGTCGCCATTGTCTTTCGGTTCAGCCTCTTTCTTTTCTTCCTCTGCAATTTAAAGAAGAAAGAAAAGAAAACTTTAGCAAAGAGTACAGTTATTAAAAAGATTGCCGTTATGCGCCATTTGCCTTCTTTCTGTAGTTTTCTTTTGCAGTCATTTTTGACTGGTATAGTGGTTTTGTTTAAGGGAAACTGAAAAGATTCGGTTCAGTTTCTTCAAACTAAGTGGCTATATTACATAAGCATGTACCAGTTAAAAGTTATGGATTTCATTCAATCCACTGCCTGTGATAGTCAAGAAGACTGGAAAGTTGATATCAAGACAGTAAAGTTGAAATCGCCTTTAGTATTTTAATCAAAATAAGGCCAATTTTGTGCGCTACGGTTTCGTAAGCAGGATGCAATTGCCTCTTGTAGTGGTTTCCAAGACAGTCTGAATCCCGGATTCATGTACTGGATTCCAGTCTTTGTCAGTGGAACTTGGATTCTAGATTCCGATCGTCAGTGGGATTCCGGATTCCTTGAGCTATGTTCCGGATTCCAAAGCCCAGGATTCCGAATTCCCAAGCAAATTTTCCGGATTCCGGATTCCGTAGGGCGAAATCAACACAAGATATGTTACATTCGAAAATATCTCACAGCCTTGTCTCGATTCCTGGTTTTACAATTAGTGTGAACCGAGGCTTTGAAGCTGGCCTTTGTCTACCAAAGGAATCTCAAAGACTTTGTCTAAGGGTTTTTTTAGTGTCACAGCATTGATATAAATAGTTTAAACCATTAACGGCAAATCGAAACGCTGTGTTTTAAGCCCTCAGGGAAACGTCCTTCCGAAG